TTATTTTCGTGATATACACACACATATATATATATATATATATATATATATATATATATATATATATATATATATATATATATATATATATATATATATATATAAACAAATTTAATTAAAACAAATACCATCGACCTTGCCAGGATTCGAACCTGGAATCTTCTGATCCGTAGTCAGACGCGTTATCCGTTGCGCCACAAGGCCTTGTAGGAGAGTCGCAGTATTCCTCCTGCTATGTCTTTAAAACTTTATACTGTGAGCACATTACCGGCACTCCTTAAGTGGAATGAACTGAAAGAAGTCAAGGAAGTCCCCTTCTCTTCATTACTTCAAGGTCACACCTTACACACAATCTATACAGCATTGAACTACAAAATGATAGCAAGCATATCTAGGTGAGTACATACTCTCACTTAGAAACCCTTAAAAATTTTACGTTATCTTGCGGGTACAAAATGGGGGAATCTTTTAAAAACATTATCTATATTTGACATATAGTGTTTACCTAACTCAAACAATGTGGGGTTTATTATTCTACACATATTTCTAATGTCTCTCAGGTGTGGTCAAGGCGGTGTCCGACACTCTCATCACAGATTCTGCAACTCCGCTGCTCATCTGTTGTTTCCATTCCGAATCTCCATGGATATTTGTATCCCAGACGAATTCTTGTTATTACTGATTCTCTCCCGCGGCCACGTCCTCTTCGTCCATAATGATTGAGATTGCCAGCTGCAACCATGTTGTACCAGCGTTTGTTCTTCTATCCTCCTTTACAACTTCCCACTACCATTATGGTAGTGGGAGCTCTCTCTCTCACACACACACACACATACACAAAACACACACATACACACACACACACACACACACACACACACACACACACACACACACACACACACACACACACACACACACACACACACACACACACAGCTTGCATTAGGAAGTGATGTGGTGGAGGCTGACTCCATACACAGTTTCAAATGTAGATATGATAGAGCCCAATAGGCTCAGGAATCTGTACGCCAGTTGATTGACGGTTGAGAGGCGGGACCAAAGAGCCAGAGCTCAACCCCCGCAAGCACAATTAGGTGAGTACAATTAGGTGAGTACACACACACAGCAGCCCGTCCTCCAAAAATGGGGTGGTAAATGTAAGAAGACAATTAAGTGCAATTATGTACTATTCATAGCAGTTAGAAATTGTACTTATTTTCACTTAGTATTAAATCGTACTGTCAAATATATTGTGAATATTTTAGTTTACCTGAAAAACTGAATAGAAAACCACAACCTCACCTAACCGTCTTAGTTTTTGAAGATAATAATTTTATTGCTTCCTAATTACAATTAGTACTTAACTTATATCTATATTGATATTACAGTTTTATAAAACTAATAAAACAAAACTAAAATATATCAATAAATTGTAAATTAACTCAGGATATTTTAAAATTTTGCATAAAATCTATGTTGTTTAATAAACCTGAAAAAGAAATTCCTGATATTTAAAACTTGTGTATTGCAAATCGAAATTGAAAACGTCATCCTAAAATTCTGAGTGACTTAACAGAAAACGAGAAAAATTAAAGCGGGGGAGGGAGTTGGGTCAATGTAACAGCCCCATAAGTGCAATTATGCACTGCTTATTACAGTAAGAAAGTGTACTTATTACACTTAGTATTAAATCGTACTGTCAATTCGGAGGATGGGTTGCACACAGGAGTATGCAGCCCCAGCATGGAGCCCGTACCTTGTTAAGCACAACACGAAGCTGGAAAAAGTTCAGAGGTATGCCACTAGACTAGTCCCAGAACTAAGAGGCATGAGTTACGAGGAAAGGCTGCGGGAAATGTACCTTACGACACTGGAAGATAGAAGAGTAAGGGGGAGACATGATCACTCATGTCACGGGCTGCTTCCTGGGGGTGTTTCTGTGTGTGGTGTGGAAAAAAAATTAGTAGTAGTAGTTAGAAACAGTTGATTGACAGTTGAGAGGCGGGCCGAAAGAGCAGAGCTCAACCCCCGCAAACACAACTAGGTGAACACAACTAGATGAACACACAGCTACTCCACAGTCATATCAGAAGGAAAACAACAGTGAAAGAACAGGTATTGAAACTTCGAACAGGCGAGGACAGGTATACAGAGAATGACAGAGAGGTGTGTGAAGAACTCAACAAGAGGTTCCAGGAGGTCTTCACAATAGAACAAGGTGAGGTCACTGTGCTAGGAGAAAGGGAGGTAAACCAGGAGGCCTTGGAAGAGTTCGAAATTACGAGAGAGGAGGTCAAGAGACACCTGCTGGATCTGGATGTTAGAAAGGCTGTTGGTCCAGATGGGATCTCACCATGGATACTGAAAGAGTGTGCAGAGGCTCTTTGCTTGCCACTCTCCATAGTGTATAGTAAGTCACTGGAGACGGGAGACCTACCAGAAATATGGAAGACGGCGAATGTGGTCCCATTATACAAAGAAGGGTGACAGACAAGAGGCACTGAACTACAGGCCAGTGTCCTTGACTTGTATACCATGCAAGGTGATGGAGAAGATCGTGAGAAAAAACCTGGTAACACATCTGGAGAGAAGGGACTTCGTGACAAATCGCCAACATGGGTTCAGGGAGGGTAAATCTTGCCTTACAGGCTTGATAGAATTCTACGATCAGGTGACAAAGATTAAGCAAGAAAGAGAGGGCTGGGCGGACTGCATTTTCTTGGATTGCCGGAAAGCCTTTGACACAGTACCGCGTAAGAGGCTGGTACATAAGCTGGAGAGACAAGCAGGTGTAGCTGGTAAGGTGCTCCAGTGGATAAGGGAGTATCTAAGCAATAGGAAGCAGAGAGTTACGGTGAGGGGTGAAACCTCCGATTGGCGTGAAGTCACCAGTGGAGTCCCACAGGACTCTGTACTCGGTCCTATCTTGTTTCTGATATATGTAAATGATCTCCCAGAGGGTATCGATTCATTTCTCTCAATGTTTGCAGACGATGCTAAAATTATGAGAAGGATTAAAACAGAAGAGGACTGTTTGAGGCTTCAAGAAGACCTAGACAAGCTGAAGGAATGGTCGAACAAATGGTTGTTAGAGTTTAACCCAACCAAATGTAATGTAATGAAGATAGGTGTAGGGAGCAGGAGGCCAGATACAAGGTATCATCTGGGAGAGGAAATTCTTCAGGAGTCAGAGAAGGAAAAAGACTTGGGGGTTGATATCACGCCAGACCTATCTCCTGCAGCACATATCAAGCGGATAACATCAGCGGCATATGCCAGGCTGGCCAACATACGAACGGCATTCAGAAACTTGTGTAAAGAATCATTCAGAACTTTGTATACCACATATGTCAGGCCAATCCTGGAGTATGCAGCCCCAGCATGGAGTCCATATCTAGTCAAGGATAAGACTAAACTGGAAAAGGTTCAAAGGTTTGCCACCAGACTAGTACCCGAGCTGAGAGGTATGAGCTACGAGGAGAGACTACGGGAATTAAACCTCACTTCGCTGGAAGACAGAAGAGTTAGGGGGGACATGATCACCACATTCAAGATTCTGAAGGGAATTGATAGGGTAGATAAAGACAGTCTATTTAACACAAGGGGAACACGTACAAGGGGACACAGGTGGAAACTGAGTGCCCAGATGAGCCACAGAGATATTAGAAAGAACTTTTTTAGTATCAGAGTGGTGGACAAATGGAATGCATTAGGAAGAGATGTGGTGGAGGCTGACTCCATACACAGTTTCAAGTGTAGATATGATAGAGCCCGATAGGCTCAGGAATCTGTACACCTGTTGATTGACGGCTGAGAGGCGGGACCAAAGAGCCAGAGCTCAACCCCCGCAAACACAACTAGGTGAGTACACACACACACACACACGCACACACACACACACACACACACACACACACACACACACACACACACACACACACACACACACACACACACACACACACACACACACACACACATACACTGATACGACCCATCAAGACCAAGGCCTTGTGGGTCGTTGAGTGTCAGCCAGGAACAATACACCAGGACTCCTGGCCAGGAGTAATGGCCAGGGTGGAGTCCTACATCTCTGGAGTGGAGTGTGGCCTCGCGGCTGAGTGGATAGCGCCTTGTGGGCCCTGTCCACCAAGGCCTTGTGGCGCAACGGATAACGCGTCTGACTACGGATCAGAAGATTCCAGGTTCGAATCCTGGCAAGGTCGATTGCAATTGTTTTGACAGGGTAGAGAAGGATGGATTATTTAACTCAAGGGGAGGTAGCGTGTACCACCCCTTGTGCGGTGGTACACGAACAAGGGGACACAGGTGGAAACTGAGTACCCACATGAGCCACAGAGACGTTAGAAGAAACTTTTTCAGTGTCAGAGTGGTTAGTAAATGGAATGCATTAGGCAGTGATTTGGTGGAGGCTGATTCCATACACAGTTTCAAGTGTAGATATGATAGAGCCCAGTAGGCTCAGGAATCTATACACCTGTTGATTGACGGTTGAGAGGTGGGCCGAAAGAGCTGAGCTCAACTCCCGCAAGCACAACTAGGTGAATACACACACACACACACACACACACACACACACACACACACACACACACACACACACACACACACACACACACACACTAGCTCCCATACAAACTGTCCACGGTCATTTACAACCTTATCACAACCAACTTTCTACAAGCCTTTCAGACTCGGAGGCGGCTGGTCGTGCTGCGAAAGACAGTGAGACGGAAGGTATTAGAAAGATGGGCGGTGATGGGCAGTGAAGGGCGGTGAGGTCCAATGTTGTGGCCAGATTCAGGTGTCAGATGATGGGATGGTTAAGGTGGTGGGTGAGGTGGTGGGTGAGGCGGTGGGTGAGGTGGTGGGTGATGGGGTGGGTGATGGGGTGAGGTGGTGGTTGATGGGGTGAGGTGGTGGATGAGGTGGTGGGGTGAGGCAGCAGCAGGTGGCGGGTCTGGGAGCTTGGCACTCCCTGGCACTCACTCAGTCTGGTGCTGCTGTGCCGACCACGCGGACCTCTGCTTCAGTGTCTTCACCAGGTGCTCATATACACTACGCACGCACGCACGCACGCACGCACGCACGCACGCACGCTAACACAGCAAAGCTTGGACGTCCTGCGTCTTGGATGTACGCAGGGGAAAGCATTAGACGCATGAAACGGGAAGCTTAAACGCACGCAGCGGGAAAACTTAGACATACGCAGGAGTTAAGCTTGGATGTTCGCAGGGGCTAAGCTTGCATGTTCGCAGGATTTAAGCTTGGCTGTACGCAGGGGTTAAGCTTGGATGTTCGCAGGGGTTAAGCTTGGATGTTCGCAGGAGTTAAGCTTGGATGTTTGCAGGAGTTAAGCTTGGATGTTCGCAGGAGTTAAGCTTGGATGTTCGCAGGCGTTAAGCTTGGATGTTCGCAGGAGTTAAGCTTGGATGTTCGCAGGAGTTAAGCTTGGATGTTCGCAGGGGCTAAGCTTGCATGTACGCAGGAGTTAAGCTTGCATGTACGCAGGAGTTAAGCTTGGCTGTACGCAGGAGTTAAGCTTGGATGTTCGCAGGGGCTAAGCTTGGATGTTCGCAGGGGCTAAACTTGGATGTTCGCAGGAGTTAAGCTTGGATGTTCGCAGGAGTTAAGCTTGGATGTTCGCAGGAGTTAAGCTTGGATGTTCGCAGGAGTAAAGCTTGGATGTTCGCAGGAGTTAAGCTTGGATGTTCGCAGGAGTTAAGCTTGGATGTTCGCAGGAGTTAAGCTTGCATGTTCGCAGGAGTTAAGCTTGCATGTTCGCAGGAGTTAAGCTTGGATGTACACAGGGACAACTTACTACTCAACTAAAGGACTCACAGTATCTAAGGTGTTGCTGAACAGGCAGACAAACACAGGCTAGGACACATAGCTGTCACATGTATTCACCCTTAGACGCAAGCAGACCTACAGGACGCAAGCGGAGACATACATCAGAGCCTAAGACGCAAATAGCAGGACGCAAGTAGCAGGACGCAGTTAGAGATGGTAGGATGAAAGCATGGAGTGAAGAGGAAGCAGAAGGCAAGCAGGAAACTGTAACAGGAACGCGAGCATAAGGGCTAAGGTGTACAGCAAGCAAGCAGGCAAGCAGAAAGGCAAGGAGCATTTAGAACGCAAGCAGGCAGACTGGGGGGACGTGGGGGCTAGGAGGAAGGGGGGGGGAAGAGGCTAAGAAGCTCACATTCACATATTGGGAAGTATGGGTCCTTATTACTACGTCGCCAGAGCGCTGTCCACTCAGCCGCGAGGCCCCTGTCTGTGTGTGTGTGTGTGTGTGTGTGTGTGTGTGTGTGTGTGTGTGTGTGTGTGTGTGTGTGTGTGTGTGTGTGTGTGTGTGTACTCACCTAGTTGTGCTTGCGGGGGTTGAGCTTTGGCTCTTTGGTCTCGCCTCTCAACCGTCAATCAACTGGTGTACAGATTCCTGAGCCTACTGGACTCTATCATATCTACATTTGAAACTGCGTATGGAGTCAGCCTCCACCACATCACTGCCTAGTGCATTCCATTTACTAACTACTCTGACACTGAAAAAGTTCTTTCTAATGTCTCTGTGGCTCATTTGGGTACTCAGCTTCCACCTGTGTCCCCTTGTTCGCGTCCCTCCAGTGTTGAATAGTTCATCCTTGTTTACCCGGTCGATTCCCCTGAGGATTTTGTAGGTTGTGATCATGTCTCCCCTTACTCTTCTGTCTTCCAGTGTCTTAAGGTGCATTTCCCGCAGCCTTTCCTCATAACTCATGCCTATTAGTTCTGGGACTAGTCTAGTAGCATACCTTTGGACTTTTTCCAGCTTCGTCTTGTGCTTGACAAGGTACGGGCTCCATGCTGGGGCCGCATACTCTAGGATTGGTCTTACATATGTGGTGTACAAGATTCTGAATTATTCCTTACACAGGTTCCCGAACGCCGTTCTGATGTTAGCCAGTCTCGCATATGCCGCAGACGTTATTCTCTTTATGTGGGCTTCAGGAGACAGGTTTGGTGTGATATCAACTCCTAGATCTTTCTCTCTGTCTGTTTCATTAAGTACTTCATCTCCTATTCTGTATCCTGTGTCTGGCCTCCTGTTTCCACTGCCTAGTTTCATTACTTTGCATTTACTCGGGTTGAACTTCAACAGCCATTTGTTGGACCATTCACTCGGTCTGTCTAGGTCATCTTGTAGCCTCCTACTATCGTCCTCAGTTTCAATCCTCTTCATAATTTTTGCATCATCGGCAAACATTGAGAGAAACGAATCTATACCCTCTGGGAGATCATTTACATATACCAGAAACAGTATAGGTCCAAGGACTGACCCCTGCGGGACTCCACTTGTGACGTCTCGCCAATCTGAGACCTCACCCCTTACACAGACTCGTTGTCTCCTGTTGCTTAGGTATTCCTCTATCCACCGGAGTACCTTCCCTTTCACTCCAGCCTGCATCTCCAACTTTCGCACTAACCTCTTGTGTGGCACTGTATCAAAGGCTTTCTGACAATCCAAAAATATGCAGTCTGCCCACCCTTCTCTTTCTTGCCTTATTTTTGTTGCCTGGTCGTAGAATTTAAGTAACCCTGTGAGGCAGGACCTGCCATCCCTGAACCCATGTTGATGCCGTGTTACAAAGTTCCTTAGCTCCAGATGCTTCACTAGTTTTTTCGCACAATCTTCTCCATCAGCTTGCATGACATGTGTGTGTGTGTGTAATCACCTAGTATTCATTTAGTTGTGCTTGCGGGGGTTGAGCTCTGCTCTTTCGGCCCGTCTCTCAACTGTCAATCAATCAACTGTTACTAACTACAAACTAGTCTTTATTCTCCCACACACACACACACACACACACCAAGGAAGCAGCCCGTAACAGCTGTCTAACTCCCAGGGTACCTATTTACTGTTAGGTAACTGAGCATCAGGGTGAAATAAACTCTGTCCATTTTGTTTCTGCCATCACCGGGGATCGAACTCGGACCCTAGGATTACGAATCCAGAGCGCTGTCCTCTCAGCTATCAGGCCCATGTGTACTCATCTATTTGTACTCACCTAATTGTGCTTGCAGGGGCTGAGCACTGGCTCTTTGGTGTACTAAGCCAGTGTATCAACTGGTGTACAGATTCCTGAGCCTACTGGGCTCTACCATATCAACATTTGAAACTGTGTATGGAGTCAACCTCCACCACATCGCTATCTAATGCATTCCACCTGTTAACTACTCTGACACTGAAAAAGTTCTTTCTGACGTCTCTGTGGCTCATTTGGGTACTCAGTCTCCACCTGTGTCCCTTTGTTCGCGTACCACCCGTGTTAAACAGTTTATCTGTATCTACTCTGTCAATTCCTTTGAGAATTTTGTAGGTAGTGATCATGTCTCCCTTTACTCTTCTGTCTTCCAGTGCCGTGAGGTGCATTTCACTCAGCCTTTCTTCGTAACTCATGGCTCTTAGTTCTGGGGCTAGCCTAGTGGCATACCTCTGAACTTTTTCAAGCTTCGCCTTGTACTTGACAAGGTACGGGCTCCATGCTGGGGCCGCATACTCCAGGATTGGTCTTACATATGTGGTATACCCTTACATGTGTGTGTGTAATTACCTAAGTGTAGTTACAGGATGAGAGCTACGCTCGTGGTGTCCCGTCTACCACCACCACTCAATCATCATCAATCGGACAGTTTTACGGGTTCACCATAGCCCGTGCTACATGGACACTTCGTTCTGAGTAGCTAAATCTGAAACAACAACAGCAGCTGACAGACCGCAAGCGGACACACCAAGGTGTACTGTACAGTGTGAACGACATTCGTTCCTTTCAAGAAATTTCGCTTGGTGTCGAACACTGCCTTTTTTCAAACTGTAAGACAATGTTCGAAGATCTTTTAGAACAATGCACGAAACTCTTTAACATACAATGTACAAAACTCTTTAATGTAAATGTACAAAGCTCTTTAATGTACAATGTACAAAGATCTTTTAGAGCAATGTACGAAGACCTATAATGTACAATGACTCCAATAATCGAAGATCAAGTGAGTTCCTGCAATTATTTGAAATTTCAAAGTCAGACTCCTGAAATAAATGATCTACATTGATAAGTGGTTTCTAATTTCAGAAAACAACTATTTGAGTGGTGTTTAATATCGGAAATCGCTTGCTTGAGTGGTTTCTAATTTCGGAAAACGATTGCTTGATCAAAGACAAAACCGTTCTGAAAGATAAATCTTTGTGTTCCGATATTCTTAAAGATCCTAATGGTTATTTCAGAAGTTGCAGCCATCCTGTTGAACCAGTAGTAGGATGGGTGACCGTGGCTGTTCTCGATAACGGTGTTCTAGTATGCCCGAGCCATATGTCTTGACTGAAGTGGTGTGCTAAAGGTTGTTGTTGTTGTTATAGATCCAGCTACTCGGAACCTACCACATGCGCTGCCTTAGACACATCTTGGACATCACCTGGCAGGACAAGGTGACAAACAACAACGTCTTGGGGAGAGCAAGAATCACCAGCATGTACACAATGCTGAAACAGAGACGAATGCGCTGGCTCGGGCACGTTGTGCGAATGGGCGACGGCAGGATCCCCAAGGATCTCCTGTATGGAGAGCTGAGGCAGGGAAAGCGTCCAGTAGGCAAGCCCCAGCTACGGTACAAAGACGTATGCAAAAGGGACCTGAAAGCCATGGACGTCGATCTTGCTATATGGGAGACACTGGCTACAGACCGTTCAGCCTGGAGGCAGTCTGTTCAACGAGGTCTCTCCAAGTTCGAGGAGTCACTTGCCAAGGAATCGGAGGCAAAGAGACAGAGAAGGAAAGCCGGTAACCAGGAAGACAGACCAGAATCGGACTTCGTTTGTGCTCGGTGTGGGATGGACTGCCACTCTCGGATTGGCCTCATCAGTCACACCAGACGCTGCACCAGGATTGACAACTAGGGCGCAACTCCATAGTCTCCCGAGACTGAAGGATGCCTACTACTACTCGGAACAAGTTCCAAGTAGCACGGGCTATGGTGAGCCCGTAGTGGACTTACCTGGCACAGGAGCGGG